CTGCCCAAAGGGATAAACGTTGTTCTGACAATTTCACCCTCACTGCGGAGAAGCACAGATCAACAAGACAGCGCTCAGGTGACCTGGTCAATATCTGCACCAGGTTTTTAAGATGAAATGTGCCCAGACCTAAGAGAACATAGATCTCCTCGTCACTTTCTTTCTTGCTTTCCAAGACCATTAAGATGGGAATGTCTTCAGAATATAGGAATGCTTTCCTCGGTTGCTCTGGATTCTACCCGGTGTAACGGCTGCTATGGGATGTCTATATGTGAGCAGTTTGTCACCAATGCCACCGAGGGCACACAACCATGGGCTAGGGTCCTCTTTGGATTTGATTTGGACAAGGGTGGAGGTGATTCCTTAAAGGTCTTTTCAGCTCTAGAGTTCAAGGTTCACTGCTACCTTTGCTTTCCAAATTAACACTGTACTGGGGTTGTCAAGGACTGGCAACTCAACAGCATGTCCGAATGTTCAAACACCTCCCATGGCAGAGCTGGTGGTGGCCACGATGAGTGCACTGCCCTGGATAGATACGGATGAACTGTAGCAGCCACCTTCCGAGGAAGTGACTGCTTCATGTTGCTAGGTGATGGTACCATGCAGGAAGCCGGCCCTCGCTGACAGGTCTCCAGATTTTCCAAGAAGTACCAGAAATTTAGATTTTTTTTTTTTAAAGGTCAAACCTCACATTTTTAAAGGTTGACTCAAAAAACTGTAGGCCGAGCCAACAACCTGTTTAGGATGAGCTCTGCCCTCCTCACAAACCCAGGGCCAGATAAAGAGCCCTGATCCTCAACTAACCATAGAATGTCACCTGAAGAACTTTGAGTGTTAAAGCATTCCAGTCCCTTTGCTGTTGTTGTTCTACTGTAACTCTTTCCGCTAAAAATCAATACTATAACCTTTAGCCCAACCTGAGGAAGTCCAGGTTGAGCAGAAAAACCAGAGCAAACAAGAGTCCTGCTGTTTCCGGGAGTCAGCACCCCTGTGTAAAGTATGACGGTCAGAACTTTGTGTTGCTTGTTTCAACTTTCCAGGTAGCTGAACCCCAAAGGCCCTGGTTATCGTCAATTCCTGGGCAGCCAAGCTGTCAGACTTTTCCCACGGCTGAGTCAGAGAGCTGCTTTCCCAGAACTGTTAGGAGACCAATACCCAGGAGGGGTCATGGCTTCCACCAAAATGGTTCTAGAAATGGAGGGAGTTGAGTGTCGGCTCCACAGGAGTTTCTCTGTGCCCTTCCCTCCCAGCAGCCATCTCGGTCTGTGATGGACGCCTAGTTCTGCTTCCTCATTTACTGTCCACCTTCTACAAACTAACAAAGGACGCTCCATAAGACCAGAACCCTTGCCCACCTTGTCCAAAGCTGAGTCCTAGGCCTCATATCAGCCAAGAAAAACGTCTAAAGGCTGTGGTCCCACAGGGTGACGGCACACAGCAGCACCATCATAGCCTCCTCAAAGGTGGACGCTTTGATTCATCCTTGAGTCTACCAGCACCATCTGCTCGGCCACTGAATGTGCTGCGAGTCAGTTCTCATTTGTGGGGTTCTGGGCCCCAGAGACTAGGAATGTTATCAATTGAGGAATGGTTGTCAAGGTGGCCTTGCAGTGTCTGCAGAACCAGGAAGTCCAGGGCTTCCTGAAGAAGCCTGCTGTTTCTCTGGAGACCTTTATCAGATAGACTACTCTTCAAACACAGATCTGAAGCCAGAAGATTTACATCAGGACTGGGGTTATCTCATGGAGTCACACGTACTGAGCCTGCATCCATCTGCCAAGTCACAGCCTCCAGCACACAAGCATCAGGTTTCTTTGAATTTCCAGAGGTTTTATTAGTCAAGGTCAAACACGTTTATTCTTTATTCAGTCTCCTAAAATCAGATAGTGGTACCCAGGGGGTAAGAGAGAAGTAGAAAGAGAACAAGAGACTTCAACTCAGAAGTCCTGAACACAGGACACAGCTAACAACGCTGATGGCACTCTTGTTTTCAATGCATGCTTCAAAGCCAGATGATCTGACTTTCCAAGATGTGCCTTTCTTGGTCACATTTGGATACACACATAAAAAACAGACAAAATAAAAAGCTAGCATCCTTGGTCCCAGCCACATTTCCACGGGAATGCAATCATTAGCTATGTGACAAGAGAATATCTTGGTCCCTGTCACTCCCTCCTAGGATTCTAGACTCCATGGAGAACATCAGGTGCCATGTGCATGCGTGCATGCGTGTATGTGTGTGTGTGTGTGTATGAATGTTGTTTGGTTATAAAGATGGCCTTTTTTTTTTCTCTAAAAACATGTCTCTGAAAATGCTTCTAAATGGTACAGAGCCAGTGACCCAGATCAGCAGGCCCGGGATGATGACACCATCCCAAATGACTCAACATCCTTGGTGTCTGAAAAGTAAGGAATCCTATGAAGAACAAAACCGTGCTTTCTCTTGCTTCTGAGGATCCCCTGTTGGTTATCTGACCGTGCTGAATGGAGTGAAGAAGGACAGCAAACCCAGCCAATGGCCTTCGGGTGCCTGACCACCCGATTACATGTCTAGCTGCGGGCCATGAACTACTCCACAAGACTTCACTAGTAAGATTCAGGGCCCTGGGCTGGGCAGGTTCAAAACACCAGGAAACCAGAGGAGTATATATGCCATGGTATATGGCTAGATTAATTTTTATGGTGTAGAATGAAAACTGCATATTCAGCTGGGGCTGACATATCCTTGAGTACTAGGTTATTTTTCCTGAAAATTACTTATTGGATTAAAAAAAAGTAGGATATATTCAAATCAGTGTAAGGGCTCTCGTTTTATAAGAGATTCTCTCAAATACTTCATTTTGAACCAACAGAGCTAGTTTAGGAGAACGGAAGCCTAAAAACACTTCAAATACCACAAGCGCTAAGGGAAAACACGTAAGAGAGAGGCTCTCCTCGGGAGTATGAGCTTAGCAGAGTAAGTTCTGAACGCTTTCCTATGCAGAACTTGAAATGGCTGATTCAGAAAGCTGTGGAGCAAGCCGTTAGTGCTGAGGATTGTGGCTGCACTTGTGTGTTAGGATACAGTTTTCAGCGGTGGCAGCCCCATTCACAGACTAAGACAGGCAGTCTCCAGGCACAAGAAGGACCTTTCCAATAAGAATATCAGGTCTGATGCAGCAAGAAAATATGCAGCCACAAACATATATGAACCTAACAAGAGAGCCTAAAATGTCAGAAGCAATAGCTGGCAAAATTGAAAAGAAAACAGGCAACATGATAATAATGGCTGTGTCTCTCCTTCAACAGGATCTGCCAACATGGGACACATCCACACCAAGGCTGTGAAGCTACCCTAGCACTGTGCAGAAGGCAGCCTGGACCATCATCAAGAAGGTACTGCATGCACCTGGTTAGGGACTTCCACACCAACAATCACGTGTATGTGGAGATCGCCATGCTCCCCGGCATGAAGTTCCATGTCAAGCTAGCAGGCAAAGTCACACAGCTGATGAGGTGGATTCAGATAGGTCCTGGGAGCCCTGGCTCAATCAAGTTGCAAGAGGGGGAGAGAGGAGAAAGGATAATTATGTTCCTGAGGTCTCTCATTCCCCGGTCAGGAGATCACTGAGGCAGACCCTGACACTAAGGAAATGCAGAGCTTCTGGATCGCCACAGCCTCTCCTACCTGCAGTTGGGAAGAATTTCAAAATGCCATGTGGCACCATTCAAATCTGTTCTGGAATGTTTTCAATAAATCTGAGGACAGCTCAGAATAATAATATTATTATTTAAGTATTTACATTGTGTATAAAACGGCCTAAGCAGAGGCTCAATAAGGAGCTAGGAGACACAGAGAACACTCTGAACCGCTATCCCTGACAGACATCTGTACAGAACTCTCCACCCCAAGACGACAAGAGATGCATTCTTAAGTAGACTGAGGTACACCATGTGCTAGCTCCTATACTGGATTGCAGAACTTCTAAAAAGATTGAAATGACATGCAAAATGTTCTCGGACTTTGATGAAATAACATTAAAAATAAGTAACAAAAACAGACTTGAACATGCTGTATGTGTTCAGAAGTCAACACTCTCCCGACTTAATGACCAACTAGCAAAACCATGAGGGAAATTCGAAAACACTTTGAGTTGAAAAAAAATGGATTCATCTACAATCCTCAGAATCTTACAGGACAGAGCTGAAGCTACTGAGAGAGAACTTTATGGTTATAAACAGCTCCTTAACAAAGTGTAGAGCCAGAGAGAGGTGACTTGGTGCCTAAAGGAACCTACTTCCCTTGCTTCACCTCCAAACACCCATGTGATGACTCACAACCTCCTGAGTATCTATACACTCAAGTATACACACAAATAAACAAATCTTAAAAATAGAGAACAAAAATAATCTTTCAAAGATTCAGAGGATGTAGAGATGACCCAGCTCTTCTTGCAAAGGATTCAGGTCTGGCTCTGCAGTACCAAGGGATCCAACATCCTCTGTCTTCCTTGGGCACATATGTGGTACACATGCTGGCAAATACACATACACATAGTTTTTTTAAAAAATATCTTAAAAGAACGTCTAAAATTGATGACTTAAGCTTCTCTTTTGAGAAAACAACAAAACTAGGAAAGGAGCAAATGCAACCAAAGCTGCACGAGGAGAGGAGGAATAAAGATTAGGGTGAAAACGACTGAGTCACAGCTTTCAAAAGTAACAGAAAAAAAATCAATGAAATCAAAGGTTGGGTCTTTGAAGGGATCAACCAACTTGACAAACCTTTAGCCAAACTATCAAGAAAAAAAGAGAAAAGACTCAAATGCTAGAGCCAGGAATGGAACAGTGAGGATTGATTGCTCCTTCCCTTCCAGGAAAAGTACAGCACCCATTACCTTCCACAGGTTCAGGCTGATTCTAAAGTCTAAGTGCAAAGGTAAATAAAGAATAGTAGACAAAGCTTTTTAAAAATTATTTATTTATTTTTACTTTATGTACATTGGTGTTTTTCCTGCATGTATGTCTGCATGATGGCATTGGATCCGCTGGAATAGGAATTGCAGACAGTTGTGAGCTGCCAAGTGGGTTCTGGGAATTGAACCCGGGTCCTCTGGAAGAGCAGCCAGTGCTCTTAACTGTTGAACCATCTCTCCAGTGCCTGCCAGTAATCTTGAAAAAGAAAGACAGAGAGGAAGGAATGATGCTTTTTTGCTCTAAGACATTTCAGGGATCAGATTGGCTGTGTGTTCATCTTTGAGTCCCACCAGCTCTCAACACAGATTGGCTGTGAGTCCCACCAGCTCTCAACACAGATTGGCTGTGAGTCCCACCAGCTCTCAACACAGATTCTCCCAGTTCCCACATGAATCAGAGCAGATTTCCTGTAGGGAGGCATTGCATTCTGTAACTGCCTGCTTCCTGAAGACACAGATGACATCTTTCCCTCTCATATCCCTAGGACCTAAAAAAATGCCCAAAGAGAAATAATCATTAACATTGTGGATAGATGGGCAGGTGATACATGAATGGGTGGGTGAGTGATGGCTTTGGAATAATTTGCCTTTGTACAATGGATGAGGCAGCTTGATTTCCTAGAAGGCTAACCCCTTACCTCTTTACTCCCTCTCAAAAAAAAAAAAAAACCCACTCAACTGAAAATCCAAAAACCTCCATCTCCAACTCCTCCAAGTACCCCCATCTAACTAGTATGGCAGCATTACCAACAATATCAAGTTGAGCATTCTTGGGTTGTAATAAATGGGCATCTGTCTTAGAGTTTCTATTGCTGTGCCGTAACTATGGCAACTCTTATAAAGGAAAACATTTAACTGGGGTGACTTACAGTTCAGAAGTTCAGTCCATTATCATCAGGGCAGTGTGCAGGCAGACATGGTGCTGGAGAAGGAGCTGAGAATCCTGCATCTTGATCTGCAGGCAACAGGAAGGAGTCTATCTACAATGAAACATAGCTTGAGCACAGGAGACCTCAAAGCCCACCCCCAGAGCATCACACTTTCTCCAACAAGGCTATACCTACTCCAACAAAACCTCACCTCCTAATTGACAGGGCTTAACCCTGTGAGCTTATGGGAGCCAATTACATTCATACTACCACAAGCATCTAATTGTCCTCTGGGCATTAGGTTCTGTTATCCCAGAAGTAAGGGGGTTTGTCCAACCTTGTCCAGTACATGTGGTGGAATTAGCCCTATATTTTAAAAGACAGTTTAGCAGAACTCTTCACCAAATCTTTCAAAACAACCTAACCAGCGGAATCTAAACACAATATCCCATCTAACACCTTAGCCAACTTGAAGGCCTGTTTTGTAAGTTTACACAGCATCCATCAGTACTCACACTTCCCCCAATAAACTGTCGCCCTGGAAACTTACCCTAAATTTCATTTTCTTTCTTTTTTGGGGGGGGACAATTTAGACAGGGCCCCTCTGTGTAGCCCTGGTTGTCCTAAAACTTGCTCTGTAGACCTTGCTGACCTCGAACTCACAGAGATCCGCCTGCCCCTACCTACCTCCCTAGTGCTGGGATTAAAGGTGAGAGCCACCACCATCCAGCTTACATTTAGTTTTTTATTACTGATAGAAAAGGATGCTGTAGATAGGAGCTTATGGGTGCCTAGAATTTGAGAGATAGCCATCTGGGCAGCAAATGGGCATGGCAATTTCTTCTGGTCATCAATATCACTGCATAACAGAAAGGGAACTCATGGCTCATCCCTGACTCTTCATTTCTAAGATATTCTAGTCCCAAATTAGATTTGTTCTTTGAGATTTCAACACAGAAAATGGCTTACGCTCATTTCAGAATTTTAAATCTGTTTTGTTTTTGACTCAGACACTCATTCATTTCTCATTCTGACTTCAGTCATGAGAGGTGTGAGCAGGGCTGGCTTCCATGCAGTGCCCAAAGGAAAGAGCAAGACCATCACTTAACACTCGTTCACAGATTCCCAAAATTACTTAATTTCCTGGCTATCGAGGCAACAGTCTACTTTGTACGATAATATGTTTTCTAGGAATGATAAAGACCATAAGTCCTCCAACTCTGCCATCGTGAAATTAAAAAAAAAAGCATAATCATCATTAAGGAAGTGCAAATCAGACTTATTAAGTAAGAAAGTTAGACATTTTCCCACTAGTCCCCTCAGACTCATTTTTATTATTCTAGAAATGCTGTGGCTAAAATCATCTGTACCTTAATTCCACTTTTTGAAGAACAACTTTATAGCAATTCTGCAGGGAGTGTTCTTTCAGTTACCATTAAAAAAAAAAAACTTAAGAAAAAAACCCTGAAACTTCAATGCAAAATAGGATTAGAATTTATCTTCTCCCTAGTTTGATTTTTTTAGTAAGTAAAGACAGAATTGGCCATTGCAGTCAGAGAAGACACATGGCTTTTTTACTGTGGCCCTGAGACAGCCTGGCTGTGAGAATGTAGCTTGAATGGTATAGGCCTCTTCCTTGATGCTTCTGTATGGACCTGGCTGCTGCCACTGATGCACATTTTAGGCTATTTTCTTTTGTGTTATTTAAATGGGAACTTGAACCCAGGGTCCCATGCCAGGCAAAAACTGTAGCACATCCCCAGCCATGTGTGCGAGAGGATTTTAGCTGCAGCACACACCCTGGGCCAGAGGGCTAGAGAATCTCACCATGGGGAGCCAGGCGAGCAAACCAGCACACTCCAGTGTTCTCACTGCCTGACCAACTATGTGCCTGTGTGCACATTAAAGGGGGATTGAAGTGCCCGGCTCCCTGGGAACTAAAGGGACAGAAGATTTATTGGCCCCATCAGTAGGCTCGCCCAGAACCATGTAAAGGAGCAGAGATCTGGAACTCCAGTGGTACTGGCACTGCCTTCCCAGGATCTCAGGGGATGCCTGCTACCCCATGGGTAATCCCTTCTGTGCTAGACTTTATTTTTTAAAATAAGATGGGGCCTGATGAATCACAAGCTGACCTAAATGTAGCTAAGGATGGCACTGAGCTTCTGACTCTCCTGGGTACAAATAGAGACATGTACACAATACCTAGAACCTTCAAGGAATGGCAACATTCAGCTAGAAAATAATAGGAAGATTTTTATTCTGTTATGTTTATTTTCCTGTTATCTCCTTTTTGTGCAAACTGATTTCTACCTATGAATGAATAAAATGTATAAAATGAATTTAGAGAATCAGAAGGAAACTATTAAACATGTAATATTCTAAGAGGTTCCTAGGCATGACAAAATTCCGAAGAACAATACACACACATGGCTTCAGTGTATTAAGGAAAACCCTAACCAGCCCAGCCATGATTTGGATAGAAAATGGCCCTCAGGCTCACGTGGTTAAGGTTTGGTCACTGGCTGGTGATGCTACTTTGGGAGGTAATAGAACCTTTGAAGAAGTGAAGTGTAGCCGAGAGAAGTGGGCCACTGCAGCCCTGCCTTTGAAGGTTACACCTTGTTCCTGGTCCTCTCTGTCTCTCCCATATACACCTCTTCCCAGCCATCATGGAGAGAACATCTCTGCTGGGCCGCTTTCCCCACCACTGTTATGCTCTGTCCACTTCCTGTAGCAATAGTGCCAGTGACAGTGGACTCAGACCTGTAAAGCCATGAGCCCAAACCAATCCTTCTTCCTTTTGCATTGCTTCTCCCAGGCATTTAACACAGGTGGGGATGACAGTCTGGTGAGTGTGAGCACATGCACCAGGGAAGGGCTAAGGCCAAGTGCAAGGTCATCTGCTCTCTGGTGTGTAGAACCCAGGTACTGCTTGTTCAGTTCACGTGGCCAACTCCCAGGCAAAGGGGTAGAAGGAATATGGTGTCCGGCCCAGACGAGCATGGCGAAGCTCTAGTGATAGGGCTGGGGAGACAAAGGAGAAGGCCCTGGGAATTCTAAACCTGGTGAAACGGAATCCACTTAGGGAATCTGTCTACGGGGTTCATTCTGCTTCGGGAATTAACAATCAGCTTCAAAGATAGCCAGACTCTAGATTTCAGGCTCCTTCTTTTTGCAATGATCTGCCCACGGCTTCAATAAAAACAGCTCAGGTCAGGGCTTGGGTCAATGTCAATCTCCAGGGAGAACTTTGAAAGATGTGTGTGTGTGTGTGTGTGTGTGTGTGTGTGTGTGTGTGTGTGTGCTTGTGTGTGTGTGTGTGTGTGTGTGTGTGTGTGTGTGTGTGTGAACTACATCAATACAGGGCATCACTGGGCACGGGCAGAGCTGGGTACCAAAAGGAGAGGCTACAAGATGCATGGGACTTCAGCATTCCTGTTCTCCTGGATGGATGCTTGGGACTAACCATCTTCAGCATCCCTGTTCTACTAGATGGATGCTTGGGTTATAGTTGGAAGTGATTCCCTAGGGAGGACACAGGGATCAAAACAGATATCCTAAAATCTGACACTGTGGAGATGTTGAAGCGGAGAACACACTATTGCAGGAAGTTGGCAGGTGCACTGTAGGTTACATTGGAGTCCTTCTGTCTCTACTTAAGGTATGATCTCTGGTTCCTTCCCACCCCAACTCCAGACACTGCCAAGTGCCTTCTAAGAAGTAAAGTCACCACGAGTTGCAACACCGGATTAAAGTGTTCCTAAGAGGTCCTCACACAATGTAAAGAGTGTATAGACGAGGAAAGCATTTCACTTTGGTGGTAAGGGGTGCAAGAAGCAAAGACTTTGACTAGACATTGCAGGGCTTCTGGTTTTACCAAGAGCCTGCCACACCACAGGTGCTCAGTGCATTTTTACTAAGGTTACCAGAGATGCCACGGACCAGCCAGTAACCCTCTCTTGATTCCTTTTCCTCACTTGTTAGTGATAAGTATGTTGAAAAATCCCTGGTAGACAGTTCCTCTCCCAATGCAATAAGCCAAATCCAGCCGAATTAATAAATCCAAGTTTAATAAACAGAGCAAAGCAAAGCAGAGTGACAACTCCCAGGTGACTCTCAGGAAGGCAGGAGAGAGGGCACAGGGCAGATCTAGTGACCGGGTCTTCCATGCCTGTAGGCATGGTCTTGAGCAGCTCCAGGGGAAAAGCTGACCCTTGACAGGCTTACTCAGGGATGGGGTCTGGAATGGGAGGAGTGAAGTTGGCTTCCCAGCCAAACATCTGGGCAAGGTTTAGAATGGGGAGAGCGAGGCTGGAGCTAGCTTCCAACTGAAGAGTTAGCAAAGCCCAGGTGACTATTTGTATCCAAAGACTCCCTAACAGTCTCTAAGACTCAGAATGATAAAGACTAGGCCAGCTTCCTGTACCAGCAGCTTTAAAACATTTCAATTCTACCCATCCAATTAGAAATATGGTCAACGATGCATGCCAGGGGAATAAATGTAGTAAGCTGTAGGGGAACTGGGGAGGGTCACATGCAGTTTAAATGCAGGAGAGAAGGGAGATTAATAGTCTGTACTGGGTGACTGTAGTTTGTGTTCTACATGGATCAACTTTAGTATATCATTCTAGCTGTTTTTGGCTAGTGGGGTACAATGTGATTCCTGCATTATAAAGTAGACTGTATAAATGTGTAAGAACTGAGTCACAGGGAGAATTTGCTTGGCTCAGAGATAGTCAGGTCTGGTAGAAACAAAGGAGGGAAGAAAAGATGAAAGGGTGGAAAAAAAAGAAAGAAAAAAAAAGCCAGACAGTGGTTGCACGGTATTTTAATCCCATCCCAGCACTTGGGAGGCAGAAGTAGACAGACCTTTGTGAGTTCAAAGCCAGCCTGGTCTATAGGCTCCAAAGCTATTCAAAGAAACCCTGTCTCTAAAACAAAACAAAAGAGTGATGTGAATCTACTGGCCACTCTACCAGCCTCAGTTTCTCTGGGTCTCAGTGAACACTTTGCCCTAGGAAGTTCACTCGTGGCCTCTAAACTGCTTCATGACTTGACCCCCTAAAGGTCATGTGCTAGAAGCAGGCTGTGGTGGTCACAAGGTGGTTTGGAGCCTGTGGGCACTGGGGACTGGGGACAAGTAATTAGGCCCTTACCAGGAATATACTTTTCTCCTCTTGGGAGTGTATTCCCCCAGCATTCATAGGCTACTTCTTGATATCTCCTGTTGACTGGTTAGCTGGTTGACCAGATGGTTATTTTGTTGATTTGGTTTGATTTGATTTTTGTTGGTTGGTTGGTTGGTTGGTTTTGGAAGAATTTGTTTGGTTTGTTTTTTCTTGGGTTTTTTGTATTATTTGAAGTTTTGCTCTGAGACAAGATCTCACTCTATAGCCCAGGCTAGCCTAGAGCTCACTCTGCAAACCCAGGTTGACTTGTAGTGATCCTCAGCATCCCAAGTCCTGGGATTGCAGGTCTGAGCCCCATGCCCAGTTTGCTCGTGTCTTGATGGTCTCTATGAAGCCTTTACCCGAACCACTCACATAGCAACTCCACGCTCGTAAGTCTTTAGAACTCGGGCCAGCCGACCTCTGTAAAGCTCCCAGCTTCTGTTAACTTGTCACAGTAGCATACCATAGACGGGCACATGCGTCCTGACAGCACCTCTCCTCCAGCGTGGAGGGAAATAACAGGGCTGGATTGCCAGATACGATGGGGGAAAGTAATTGAAACAGTTGGGCCTAAAAGCATTTGGAGTTGTTTTCAAACACTCCACAATCGGTGGGTGTCAGTCAGTACTCTCCTGACCTGGAGTGGCAGCGGCATTTGACAGGTGCGCATGCCCTTCTCCATTGAACATGGCTGCTGACGTTGCTGGAAAGAGGAGATGACGCTGCAGGAACCTTTCTGACCTCAGGAGTAGGAGGAAGTGTGTCTTCAACACCCCTAGCCTGAGGTGAGTGGGTGCACACTGGCTCCCTCATCCTGTCTGAGAGACAAGTCTGAAATGATTGTTCTGACTGAACCCCAACCTCACAGTGAAAACTTCTCTTTCGTTGGCCACTTCTCTTCTTCTCATACGCTTTTCATATTAAAGTTCATCACCCTGCTCCCACTAGAGTAATAGATTGTCATCTGTCATCCAAAGTCTTCTCTGGGAAATGCCACCAATGCTTAGAATCCAATACTGTCTCTGGTTCTGCTGCCATTGCCGGAATCCACGCTCTGCAGCAGTTCTGAGGACGTCACCATCTCCCCGAGCTGAATTCTGACCCCCCCGTGCCCCTCCTCCACATTAGCTTGGTATCCAAATGCGGCCAGAAGGCTAGAGAACCCCCAGTGATCAATGACAGCTCCAATCAAAGCCACCAGACATACCGTGCACTCGCGGCTCCTTGATATAAAAGGTGTTTTATTTCTCATCCCTTTATTTTTGTCACTGAAAGAATGCTTCCCGTGTGTGGATTAATTAAAGTGTAAACATTAACTATTGATTGATGCATTATCAGCACGGAGCAGTAGCCTCCCGACAGATTGATTCCTGCCGTGATTTATTGTCATATTCGGGAGTCATTGCACTTGGTAACCAAGAGGGGCCACCTGCCTCCCACGCCGCGCCATCTCCACTCCTTTCTCTTTCTCTCCAGTACCTCCTCTTATTCTTCCAGGTGACATTTGAGTTCCAGTAACTAAAACATCTTCATCCTACCGTCGAGGAAAAAAAAAAAAATCCTGCGGCCCGACATTAGTTCTGTGTGTCTGTATGCCTGTGTCTGTCTCCCTGGCAATTATCAAATCAATTGACATGACTGAACGCAAAAATGAACAAATCTGTGAGCTGCTACAGGGGATCTCTGGTTAACAGAACGTGCCCCTCCTGCACTGTGCAGAGTGTGATACTGAGTAAATTCCAGGTGAAAAGAGAGCAGAATACTACAACGGGAAAGAAAGCTCCAGGTGTCTGTCTTCCCACTCCTCCGGAGAAGTAGACAGAGGAGGGCAACAGAACAATTCACAGTTACGACAGGCTGTAAGTCTCTAAAGGGATGACTCAGTAGACCATGTTTTAGCAGGCCGACTAGCATGAAATTGCTGTTTTTGTAGGTCAAGAAATGAACAAATATTGACAATTTCATAGGACTCAAAATTATGTACTTAAGCTCCCTTCTGAAATGGGGCGTCACGGTCTCTGTCTACTTTATTTTCAGTAAGAAAGTGGCGTGAAAGGCAAATCATAGGTCATAGCTGGCATGCGCATAAACCTCTCCTAAGTTCCTATGAGAAAACTTCCTATGAGGTACCCATTATAGAAAACCTAACGACCCAAACTGATTCAAACAAGGTTTCAAGTGGCCAGCAAGTCCAGGGGAGCCTCCACCTGAACACCTACGCTCATGAGAGAACCCCCAAGATACCCAGAGCCCGATGCAAGTCGATGGTACGGGGGGGGGGGGGGCAGCAGCCTCAGGAGGGCTGAAATCTGGGCTTTAAAGTCCTTCCTGGCAGTAGGGAAGGCTAGACCAGCACCCTGACTAGAGACAGCGAAAGGTTTGGCCTTCTCTCTGAGTTGCTCTAAATAGGATCCCAAAGTTAGGACCTGTTGAGAGAAATGGACACAGGAAGTCTCAGCTTCAGCCAGGGCAGGGGGTTCTCCTCACCATTTCAGGATCAAGAATCTGGTTTCTGCTGATTATCAGAGTTACCACCCCCAAACAGCCAGAGAAACAGGAAAGAAGGCCAGCTGTGTCCCCTTTGCCCTTTCTGTCTGTCACAGGCGATCCAGGTCCCATCCGAGATGCTACCAGGTCTGCGTGCGTAGAGGTCAGATCACCAGGTGTCTTTCCTCCTTTTCCTGTTGCTGAGATAAAATGCCCTGGCAAAGCCACTTGGGGGAGAAAGGGTGTGTGCTGACTTACAGTTCAAGGACACACAGTCCAGCACAATGAGGAAACAGACGCTTGGCTGCCCTCTCTCTCTCTCTCTCTCTCTCTCTCTCTCTCTCTCTCTCCCCCGGCCGCCTCTGCGCCCGGCCCCGCCCCTCGGCGTTTTTGAGACAGTATTTCTCATCTACAGAGTGGCAGTTATGGGCTAGTGGAAATTGTACTAGTGACAGCATTCAGAAAAGACCCTGATAAAAACACACCCCACTGTCGTGATCTATGGAAAAGTTTGGAAGAAAATGTCTTACTTCTTTATGTGTGTGCATGTGCACGCGTGCGTGCGGTGAGGGAGGAGAGCTCACATGCGTGTGCATATGTTCATATTTCAGGGAGGTGGTGTTCTCTGGTCTCTTGAGTTGAATGCTTGGTTTATCTTTTTTTCAGTTCCCTGTCTGTTACACTGAGGCTATAAGCTGCCCACTGGATATTCCTTTAACCACATCCGAAGATTCTGGTGTGTGGTAGTACTCATTTCCAGCTGGTTTCATTTCACTTCTCAGCCCAAGAGTAACTGGAAGGATGGTTTGAAGTGTCTAAGAAAGCGTGTCTGCAGCGTATTTTCTAGAAACACTATCTCCTGTGAACTCTAAAATTAGCTGAACTTCCTAAAACTGTCCTTTTCAAATCAATTTCATAGCTTTTACACTTCAAAGCTCCAGTGAACTCAACTGACATTGTTCTGTTTTGTAAGACAGAGCTGGTGGCAGTAGCAGGCTAGAGGAACAAAGTCCACAGTTTTGTTCAGTCACAGAGCAAATACATAGTAAAGCCTCTGGGCTCCTGACAAGATTCATTTTCCCCAACGATATTTTTCTTACTGTCTAGTATGTGCTAAGGACGGTTCCAGTCACTGTGGAAACAGTAACAAATGAGAGAGACTAAACCCCCTGTTCTCCTGGGCATTGGTTTCTGGAGATGTCTTTCAGTGAGGTCAAATATAGGACCTGGGGACACGAAAGGAGCCTAGGATGCCAAAGATCTGATTCTGCGGGGAGTGGCAGCCAACCCTGCTCTTGGTGGAGCAGACCTCTGTTTGCAAGAGTCCAGGAAATTCTTGCAAGCTTTTCCCAACAGCTCCTGGGAGAGAGCTCAAATAATACGGAGGGGGAGCCACACACTACTGCCTTCTACAGACCTCCAGAGTCCTCTCCCATGACATAAGGCCTTCCTCCCCCAGACACCAGCTAGACTCCTTCTATGCCAGGCAGAGTATGAAGCAGATCCACCTTCTTTATCCTGACATGGACATACCCAAGGTCGGCACACTCAGGTCCATGGAGTTACCTCACCCCAAGAACTACTGGGGCTAATTCTGGGTTCCAGATGATTTTTTAATGATTTATTTATTTTTACTTTATGTGCATTGGTATTTTGCAAGGGTTTCAGGTCCTCTGGAGGTAGAGTTATTGGCAGTTATAAGCTGCCATGTGGGTGCTGGGAATCGGACCCAGGTCCTATGGGAGAACTGCCAGTGCTCTTAACCACTGAGCCACCTCTTCAGCCCCTCCAGATGATTTTTGCTTGGTTTTGCTCTTTGTATCAGGAAAAGCATTTGGGGGAGAATTTGGAAGTCTCTGGTCTACCATCCTCAGCCGATTAAATAAGAAAAGATTTTGTTTTGCTTCAATTTGGATTCTTCGGGGATTGGGGTCTTAGAGATTAAACACGAGGCCTCGTGCATGGCAGACACATTCCCTACCACTCAGCTGCAGCCCAGACCTGCATGTGCAAGTCTCCTCTCAACCTTGTCACCATCATCACAACCACCCTCTCCACCAGCTCATCAAGAGGCAATCATTGGGGAGCCTTGGTGGCACATGTCTGTGGTCCCGGCATTTGGGAGAGTGGGCAGCAGGATCAAGAGTTTGAGACCAGCCTACAAAGCAACTCTGTCCCAAAAGACAACAAAGAGACACACAACAGAGAATCACTTCGACTACCCCCATTTTGAGTAGCCAAGGACAAACACATTGTCACTGTGGCATCCTTACATAGGCTAGAGGTTAAGAGCAGGGACTCAGGAGCAGTTCCCTTCGGTTTAGTACATTAGCTGAGTGCTCGGCTTGCTTTCTTGTCCAGTATAGGAGCCAAGCACCAATTAAGGCTAAACCCAGATCTGCTACTATGCAAATGTCATCTTGCCTCCCAGAGGCTAGGTGTGACTTTTAAACAGAGTCCCCGAGTAAGAAATTGTGACATCTTTGGTGTGGGCTAGAGTTCTGTAACTCAGACTCGTGGATGATAATAAGTGAACCTGTAAAATTGATCTGGTTGTGAAAGCAAAGAGGAAGAAGAAGTCAGATTTGCAAACACTTGGGGATCTGGTGTTGGCCTGTTGAAGAGTTGGGGCTAGGGAGACTAGAGATTAGGTTTGATGGTTCAGAAAATCCCTGCCCCTAGGGTCTCAGGACTTGAGGGGAAAGGGGAGTGAGTGTGTGTGGGGGAGGGAATTTCAGCACCATAGCCTGAGACAGGAAGCTGAATGCCTGGAAGTAGCCGACTTCATATTCAGAGAAAAAGGCAGAGAGAGAGAGAGAGAGAGAGAGAGAGAGAGAGAGAGAGAGAGAGAGAGTCAAGCACAGCTGTGATCTTCAGTATAGCCTAAGCCCGGCCTGAGGGAAATGAAGACCCCAAGTGCTCCTTGTATCACCTCTCCAGCTGGGGCCAGCTGTGCACTATGGGCCACTTTGGGACTGTGGGTCTAATTCTGTAAGGGAGGTGGCACTCTGAGCCTCTGGAGCTTCTGGGGAGTGAGTGCCTTGTCCCTTGACCCAGCAAAGGGTTCTTGACCAGGCTTCAGTTCGAATAGACACACAAAACCCTGGTGTAAAGACGGAAGTTCCATCTGCAGCCTGCCGGTGCCTAACCACTAACCCTGCAACTGCTGGCTTCTGGTGGTATCCAAAGACCATCTCTTCTAGGAAGTGCTCCAGCCCAGAGCTGTCTGCATCCAGTGTGCTCCTCAGTACCACTGTGGTCACACCGCTGCTCAGCAGGGTTTCCTGGTGAGAAACCCTTGCAGGAAGGACCAGGAAATATCTCATTCGCTTTACATCAGTCTGCATATCAAGGGAGCTCTCTCCTAGCCTAGCACCCCGCAAACACTCTGGGTAATGTGCGGTTTAGCCTTCAAAGGTTGCTTCATCTTTACTCTCAATTCAGTAAGAGAATTTAGTTTCCATCCTATGAAAGAATATTCAAGTCACCTTCAGACTGCTGCACTCTTGCAAAAACCATACAAACACACACACACACACACACACACGACATGTCTGACCTGGGAAGACAGAATGCAGACAGCAGCATTCTGAGCTCTGCTTCTAGTGGGTTCTAAAGTCCCATCCAAATGGCTCAAGAATGATCTTAGCCACAAGATGTGGGAAATGGGAAGTTTGCTCACGCCGACAATACAGGCAACACCCTGGACCCGTGGATCCCCCATCTCAGGAGGAATGTCTCTGACATCCCAGTGTCACTTCCCTGGAGAATAATTTCAGAGCGATGCAGCGTGAGCCAAAGTGCAGCTGCTCTGATTACAAAGGTTCCTGGGAGGCAGGAGAGTAGTCGCCACTGTCATCTCACACGGGGGTGGGGGGTGGGCAAGGCCCCTTTAACATCCACATTAATTCGGAGACAAAGAGATTCAAGAAAGCCATGCCTGTGTGGCCAAAGACCCCAGAGTCGTGCCAGGGCGGGGGTCAGGAGAAAGAGTGCAGAGGTCCTTTGTCTAGAAGGCCAGTGGCGTTGTGTGGAACAAGCCCTATGAAGTCACAGTGCTGGCAAATGCTGCTCCCTTTTTGACAGGGGTGGGGTGAGATTATCATCTACAAAGAGGAACATGAGATATTCTGTTAATAGACACCCTACCAGCCATGGAAACACCCTATTCCCACCACCCCGACTTGAATCTATTGTAAAAGTTTACCTGGCATTCTGAAAATGAGGATCTGGAAGAAAAAAAAAAAAACCTTTACCTTTTCTTCTTACAAAGTAGTTTTCCCATGTTTTAATCAACAAGCACAAATGACTCCCTCATGTTGGCATATTATTTCCTAAAATTATATGTGAGGAGCTTATCAAAGTTTGAAAGAAATAGTTTTTAAGTTGGCTAAATACCATTCAAATCGGGCTTTTTCTTTTTTTAAATAATCCCTTTAAGTTAAATATCTTTTGGTAATAAAGGCAAATTAGGGAACAATAAATTATAACTTCTGACTGGTGACTGATTATAGATATTATAATTAAGTCCAGTTTCCTACACAAGGCATATTATCTTAATAATCATCCCATCCATTAGCATATCTTAAAGAGGTTCACAAAGCCGGCTGTGGCACTTGAGGAGACCTCCGATCTCCTCCCTAGGCTATGAAAGGCTAAGAAATCAAAAGAGATGAAATTACTTTAAAAAGAAGTTTGGGTTAAATATAAGTTGAGAAACTCAGATTATAGTCATAAAACCCTAACTTAAAAACATTTACCCTAAATACCCCCTCCCACCAGCAGCAGCACGAAGAGACTTCGCTTCCTAGAAATCTACAATTTACACAAATTTGTTCAAAGCTGTTGTGACCCAGCCAGACATGTACTGTGTCATAGAGCATGCAGCTAGGGCTGGAACAATACTGAGGGACTCAGGTTTTTTTCTGGAAGTCCTGACCTTGTTCCGTGACAACTGCAAGAAGAACCAATGGTTGACAGGGGCAACAAGAGCAAACTAGGTGATTTTCTTGTCCCTGCTCTTTTTTAAAGTGAATTATTTCTCCAGCCAAGCTCTTGGGGTTATGTACAAGACAGAGAGAGCCTGCGGCATGCCGGCTTTCTCTGGGATGTGTTTCTGACAGCTTGCAGTAAGAGTCCACTTCTTAAAATAGCTGGGGAGGTCAGGGTTGCTTTGAAAGATGCTCAGAGAAGGCTCAAGGAGCTGCCTGCAGTCCTTCACGCTACAAAGTCCACAGGAGCCTCCTCTTCTGGGAAGACTCCAGGAGAGCAGTTAAGCCTTTGGCTACAGTGGGTGATACAATTCTGGGGTTCAAGGCACACAGGCAAGCGGCACCAACAAAGGCACTAGGAAGGTCAGACTGCAATAGAGCATGCCCTGATTTTATCCGGGAGATTGATGCACAAATCACCTTGATTTCGATTTGGCACAGGGTTATAAAATACACTTTCCATCACTGATAGTGCGGAAGATCGGGCCCAAGCATGGGACACGGCATTTTATATCCCTGGTAGAGTTTTCCCTAATACAACCATAAATCAGCCCAGAAAGTAGGAACTTGGTCCATGTTAGCGGACAAGGAGTAATCTAGGAGCATTAACCAAAGGCACAGTCTTGAAACCTGGGGCAAGCTTAAAACTTTGTACCAAAGCCACCCAGATACATCCTTCAGGAGGCAGCCCACAGTAGGAGGAGGGCACAGAGGAACATGGACCATAAGACAAGCCAGTAAGAAAGCAGCACTTGCCAACCAAGCATGCGCAGAAATCCCTGAGTCTTAGCCCGAGATACAAAATTTTGACATTTCAGGGGAGAAAAGGAAAAACTAAGATACTAAGGAAAATGACCCCAACACACATATTTAAAAACGCCCATTAACATATGAAGAAGAGAATAAAGTGAGCCTCACAAGAGGGAAGGAAATTTTAGCAGTCCAAAGAGAAAAACAATTTGCAAAACAGCTCCTCTCAGGAGCAGCAGCAGCTGGAGGAGGGGGTGCTCCCTTTGCTCTGACAGGTCTCTATGACAGGTTCCTACAGAATATTTAAAATAGATTCATATATTCCAGGAAAATAAATACTTTCATTTCTCTTCAATTCCCCATGCCAACAGCCATGGCCTTTATAAACGATTTCCTAACAAATCCAGAATGGGAGCTCCTACCGGTCTGGGACTGTCCCACTCAGTATCAGAAATAAAGCAGGGGGTTTGTCTTTGGCTGGGCATGCAGGTCTCAACGCAGCTGAGAGTCTATTTAGATGTTTCCAGATTCTACCTAGGAAAACTGTTTTCCAGACCTCCTTCCCCTCAGACTATTGAACCCCACCACCCACGAACATCCAAGCCGGCGAGCTCCTTGGCCAGCTCTGAGCATCAGTGGGACCACGGAGAGACAAAGTAGAGGCAAAGTCACCATCGGCACTAGTTCTCCCCACGTTATTCAAGGCTTCTCCTTCACCTAAAGCCAGTAAGAAAAGCATCCTACTGTTGGGGGGATAGGGTGGTACAGGCTTCTTCCCAAAGCAGACAGACACCAACAGACAGGACTAGCCAGTTCCAGACCCAAAGCTTCCTTCTGCTTGAAGACAAGCTGCTTGTAGCCAAAGGTTCATTTAATCATTTGTAGACTCCCAAGTTTGTACTGATATTTTATTTGTATTTTAATAGATAAAGCTTTCGTGAAATTCAGAGAGTAAAACAGCAACACTGGTCAGCCTTACAGACCAGGCAGTGGTGACACACCCCTTTAATCCCAGTAGCCACACTAGTTTGCCATAGATACCGGGCTGTAGTGGTGCACGCCTTTAATCCCAGCACTAGAGAGGACTAGAAGACAGGAGACTCACACACAGTCTCATTCTGAGATTCCTAGAGGCAGGATTGTTATTTCAGACTGAGGTAGAGGTAAGAGCCAGTGGCTGGCTGCTTTGCTTTTCTGACCTTCAGGTTGAACCCCAGTTTCAGTCTCTGGGTTATTATTAATCATGCTCCATAAGTTCCTGTTTCTGAACATCACATAAGAACAGGCAGATTGTGGACTGAAGTTAAAGAAAGGGAAGAAGCCCAGCCCCCTTACCTATGGGTGAGCCCTGGAGTGGAATGAAATGGGCCAAACCGTGGGGATTCTTGTACCAGGTTCTATGATTTACCTTTTCCATTAATTAAAGTGCAAAAACATCATCACTTTAAAAAAAAAAAGTGATCCTTTCTCTAGCCATACTCTATCTAATAGGGAAAAACTTTTTAGGTGAACATGCAGGGCTGCGCTCAGAGGAAGAAAGAGGTGCAGGGGATGCACCGGGGGGCGGGGGGGGGGGGTAGGTTCTCTGCTCTCTGGCTCCTTGGACCCACATTAAGCCGCCCAGCACTTTTATACAGTGTGAAACAAAAACACAAAACAAAGATAAGACCAAAAAGCAAGTTCCCAGCTGCCTTTGCCCAAGGTCAGATATCAATTTGAAGTCACATAAAAATAGAAACAAAGAGCCAGGCGGTGATGGCGCACACCTTTAATCCCAGCACTCGGGAAGCAGAGGCAGGTGGATCTCTGAGTTCGAGGCCAGCCTGGTCTACAGAGCTAGTTCCAGGACAGACAGGACTGGTACACTGTAACATGAGGGCCGGCTTGTTGGGGTATCTGTCCTGCCCAGTACCCCGGCGGCAAGCCCCAAGGAAAAATCAATCATACAGAGATCTCTATAAGTTATAAAGCTGATTGGCCCATTAGGTCAGGCTACTTATTAGTTTTTATGACTTATCTTAACCCATTATTCTGATCTATGTTAGCCACACGGGCTCAGTACCTTTCTCAATGTGACAGCTTACATGTTGCCTCTTCGGTGGTCTGTGCAGGAGTGGCTGAGAGAGCTTCTGCTTCCAGAATACTCCCAGTCTCTTTGCTCCACCCCTACTTCCTGTCTGGCTTTCCAGCCTATACTGCCTGCCTGGCCAATCAGCGTTTTATTAAAATATGATTGACAGAATACAGATAATTCTCCCGCACCAGTACACAAAGAAATCCTGCCTCAAAAAACAAAAACAAACAAACCAAAAAAGGAAAGAAACAAAGTAGAAAATAACGCACCTTCCAAAAGGCTCCACAGCTGGGAAATTAGAGTCTAAGACCCTGTGTCCCGGCTCAGAGACACCAGGCTTCCCCATCTGATGTTTTGTGTATATGGGAATTTTGCCCAAAAGAAGAATGTTCTCATCAGCACTGAGATGGCCGAGTGAATGGAGAGATGGACCCTCCTTCTGCTTCCTGGGCTGTGCCCGCCTGCAAAAGACTACTAAGGGGATTCTCAGGAGCTGTTGGGGCTGAGCAGGTCCAGAGGGACCCGACCTGTGCTGTCACCTTAGATGGACCCCATCCGTGCTGTCTCCGGTCTTCTGCCTCCCGGGAGCTGGCAAGCCATGTGGTTCCAGCACAAAGCTGGCCCTTTTGTAAAACCTGTAGTCTGGAGCTAGAGAAGGAAGGTGTCCTGGCAGAGAGAGGCAGTGGCCGCCAGGAAGTACGCAAGAGACAGCAGTCCCTGGACACTCCCAACAGAGTAGGTTTCACAGGAGTCCTTCCTTTTGTCCTCTTAAACTTGATACCTGGGGACTTGATTGAACCCAGGTGTCCTTCATCATTGTGAATCTGGGAAGAGAAACTGCCCCAGCTTCCTCACTGGAGAAGGTAGCATGACACTATGGTCACCAGTATGACATACTGGTGGCCTGCCTGGACATCCATTAGGCTGGGCCTCTCTGTGTGGGGGGAAATGCCGGGATGAGCTGCAGGATATTTGATGACACTGTGTGAAGATGTGTCCGTCCTTCCTCACCCGCCTAAGGCGCCTTCTGATTGGTTTAACAAAGAACTGAATGGCCAATAGCCAAATAGGAGAGGACAGGCAGGGATAGGAACTCTGGGAAGAGTCTGAGAGGTGAGAGACTCGCCAGCCAGATACGGAGAAAGCAGGATGTAAGGTGCCGAGGCGAGGTAACAGCAGAATGTAGATGGATATAAACTGGTCAATATAAGTTTTTAGAGCTAATTGGAAATAAGCCTAAGCTAAGGCCAATCTTTCATACTTAAGATGTCTCCATGTCATTATTTGGGAGCTGGCCATCCAAAGAAAGTCCGACTACAGAGATGCATCCTTCCGCAACTCAACCCACAAAAGGGACTAGAAGTTGTTTCCCAGCGCTATGGAGATGAGACCCACTCATGAAACAGGCTTGTGA